GCATTTTTAAACGTGAACAGCCCTGGGCTTTGAATGCCATGGCTATGAGCTCTTTTAGTATTCACAGCCCTGAGCTTTGAGTGTCAGTGGCTGTAACCTCCCTTGCTGCCTGGATCTGGCAGCTGCTGGCAGGCCTTGGTAATGCTAGCCACCTTCAGCATTGTCAATCCCAGCTGCTGGCAGCTTTCTAGCTGCTGATTACCTTCAACCTTTGGTGTCACTAACTCTTAGTGTACCATCTCAGAATGCTCCACTTGAGATATCAACCACAAATAGACAAAAATATGTTACCTAGAAGAGGATTTATTGAACTTATGTAGTAGCATAACAGGGAGCAATGCATTGACTGAGCCCAGTAAGAATTTGGGAAGGTTGCTTAGAAAAAAGATGGACTAGTGTATACAGTGTCAGACTTTCTTTTTGGTTATGGGTGGGAGAGACTCTTGCTGATGTCATTGAGGAGAGCAACAGAGGGGCATCGTCATCTGAAGAGGCTGCAGGGTGAAGTTGTCTGGGACAAGTCCAGGTCCAAAGCTTGCTGAAGCCAAAGCAAATACCTCCTGATGTTGCCAGACAGGCTGCAAGGCCTTTAGGGCAGCCATGGGAGAAAAATAGAAGTGCAGGGGAGCATTGGATCTTTCTCTTCTGTCTCAAAAATGGTTGGATCTTTTAGTTAGTTTTGTGTTCCTTTTCAACAAATAGAGTTGAATTGATAATCATGCTAGCAAGAAGCAAAGCATGAATTTGTTTAAACTTAAATGTAACTGCCCAGCTGGCTTGCTTTCCCACAGTACTCTTTATTTGTTGTACTCACATGGATGACAGAGTACAGTAAACAAAAAGGGAGAGCAGCCAGTTTAGCATTCCAGGGCTGTGTCAACAGAATTATTCTCTCTTAAACTTCTCATCCAATAAAATAGCTTATAGTTATATACTAAGGTCAGTCAAAGAAATTAAGGTTATGTTTTGTCATTTTTAGAAACAATCCATATTTTCTAAAGTATTTATGACTTTGGGGAATTTATATCATCACCTTAAACCTTACTGTTCTCTCTTGTAAAATGCACTCATTAACTCTGAGGGTGGTTGTAAGGATTAGGGATGTGAGAGTCACGCACATAGCAAGTCACCTTAGCTAATTCTTTTATGTATTTCCTGGAGCATACATTCATACTGCAGTAAATCTAAAAGCAAGCACTTTCCAGGAAGGGCTTCTCTCTATCCTGAAGAGCTAAGCAAGTACTCCACTGCTATCGGTGGCACCTCCTCCACGCGTCCATTGTTTTCTTCATCACACACATTGTGATCACTGGTGTACAGATATCTCCTTTGCTGGGCTGACAGCAGGACTGAGATTCCTTTATTAGTCTATGGGGTTTTGTACTTACTGTGGTGGAGGTGTTGAATAAGTGTTGATTAATGGGCTGGCTGAATGGTATGTGTCCTGTTGTAGGCCCAAAGAAGGGATTGCTAGCTTTCAAGATCTTCTCTTTTTCCTAACTGGTCTTATATTTTTCTACAGTGTATTTAGTGTAGGTTGATTTAATAGTTTTTTTGTTTGTTTGTTTTGTAGTGGGGATCGAACTCAGGACCTTGTGTTTTGAGGCAGGCAGCAGAACAACTGAACTAAATACCTGGCTGGGTTGATTTAATCTTGTTGGGCCTTTGACGATCTTTTTTTTTTTGGTATCCGGTATTGAACTCAGGTCCTTGTGCTTGTGAGGTAGGCAGCAGAACCACTGAACCAAATCCCCAGCGATAATCATTTTTGATGTGAGGATTCATGTATTTCCTGTAAAGTTCTCAGTACAGTACTTCTCTCTGTGAATATTACTTTCTTGGCAGGTGCCTTACTTTCTTTTGAAACATCTAGGTGACTGTTGGGGTCTGTAGTCAGTCTTTCATAGCTTTTAAATATCCTCTTTAATCTTAGTATTTTTTATGCTGTATTTTGGAAGAAGTCCTTGGTATTCTATGGCTGGCAATTCTCTCTTCAGCTGTTATTGTGTGGAGGGTCTCATTAGACTTAGAAAACTGAATTAGAGGCAGTATATTTTCATATATCTAATGCAGAATGGAGATAAAATTCACTGAGAAAAGAATACAGAAAGAATAGATTTTGTTTTTGTTTTTTGTTCTTTTGGTTTTTTTTTTTTTTGTACCTGGGATTGAACTCTGGTCCTTGCACTTGCAAGGCAGGCAGCAGAACCACTGAGCCAAATCCGCAGCCCCAGAAAGAATAGATTTTGGTAGAGCAGTAGGTCAGGAATAGAAACAGAAATATTAAGATGTTTTATGATTATGATTTGAAGATTAATGTTTTTCTAAAGATCTTACTGTATGTGTTTGTCTTAGTAGTATAATTCAATGCCCAGGATCGTTGAATTTATCATATTTCCAAGTCTCTTTACATGATGTTCCATTATAAACTTACAGAGATTCCTCTCTGGCATTTGGGAAGTGGTTCCTTAGTACGGTCATTCATTTTAGAAACATTTTGTAAGTGTCTCTCAAACAGGTGTACTTTTGGCGTTCGTGAATGTTACAGTCTTCAGTGAGCAATTACAGACTGAGGAAGTGCTGTAGGAGGCAAATGTGAAATGCTGTGAATGAAAGCAGAGCCTACCTGAGTCTGAGGCCCAGGTCTGTGTTCAGGGCGTGTGGGAGGGGCTTGCTGTGAGTGGGAGGCTTCCCTGGACAAGTGAATTCTGCAGTTCCACTGTCGCTTGGCTCTTGCTGCCTTTTTGTCTTTGCATAGCTGGCTGCTTCTTGCTGATCTTACATTAATGATTTATTCTTAAAGTATATGAAAAGGAATATATTTGTTGCCCATTTTCTATTTACTATGTTTTTTCACTTTGATCACATTTTCCCCTTTTCTTAATTTGTTTAGATAAAATAATTTTCTAAGAAAATTCATATCTATATTTTAAGTGAAGAAATAAACAACAAACAAGTAAACAAACAGACGTAATATTAGGTAGTATGACCTATGTCAGGGTGGAAAAGCAGGATAAGGGAATAGAGGATGATGGGGAGCATTTTAAAGTAGGCAGAAGGAAAACGTCCCTGAGAAGATGACTCTGGAATAGAGACCTGAATGGACCAGGGATCTTGTCGTGCATAGTTCCAGGCAGAAGCAACAGCTGCAGGAGAATTTCAGGAGCCAGAGTGAGTGGTGGGGTCACAGGATACTGCAGGAGGATGGCTGGAGTAGGGGGTATGAGAGAAAGGGAAAAGGAGTTGAGCTCCCGAAGTTAAGCGTGGAAAAATATGTTTTTCATGCTTCTCAAACCAGGATACATCATTTTTCCAGGGAAAGGATAGCATCTGATCTGTGGTCCCAAAAGCTAAAATTCACAGAGGACTTCTGTGTTTCACATGACCCTAGGTACTATCCCCCAAATAGGATTTTTTTGGTTAGGGACTGTAAACTAATTGTAGAAAATTAAGAAGGTTTAGAATGATAGAGTTTAAAGCAGCTATAAAAGTAAGAAGAAATGACTAACAAGAAAGATTAGATGAAATAATAGTGCCAGCGATGGTAACTTGATCAAAGGTTTCTGACATGGTCCTTAGTAGTACTTAGTGAAGTGACTAGCAGAAAGCATTGGTTTGTCTCTAAATATACTCTGAATTTGGCCATTTTTTTTTCACAACTTCCACTGCTACTTAATTATAGTTAAAAACAATCATACTTTATCACTTGTAGAGACCCAAAATGCAGACAGCAGTGGATCTTTAAGGAATTTTCAGTGTATTTCTGGAAGGAGACTTGAGAAGACATGAGCTGTTTATATGAGTTGATTCCAAGATGTGGAGAGATAAGCGATTTCCTTTATCATTTCTCATGGGAGAGCATCAAGAATAACACTTCTGCTTATATTTGAATCATTCGTAGGTTATGATGTGCTTTGATATCTTGAAGTAGATGGAACAGATATGCTTGGATTGTTTTTCAGATAGGTAGTTCCAGACAGATCACCTGAGTCACCATCACACAGATGGTTAAGAACAGAGTCATTGCTAGAATTATGTTCTTTGTCACTCTGTTAATGGTAGAAGTTGTTTTTATAGTATATTATGTCAGCAAAGCCAATTTTCCTAGTTTTTCTTATCCTACCCCAATTGTATCTCTCTGAAGTGACAGATACTGTGTGAGCTCACAATCTGCCTATCTATCCATCCATCCATCCTAGTCATCCAACAGAATAGTATAGACTGAATTACTTATAAAGTGTGGACATTTATTTTTTCATCATTCTGGAGGCTGGATGTCTAAGGCCAAAGCACTGGCAGTTTCAGTTGTCTGATTTCTGCTTCCAAGACTGGGATTGTATGCTGTGTCTTCCAGATGGGAGGATGTCTCGTGTTCATGTTGGGGAAAGCAGAAGGCAAGCAAGGGAGTATCTGTCTGAATCCCATTTAATAAGGGCCTTGATGCCGTTCATGAGGTAGGAGCCCTCATGGCCTAATCGTCTCTTAAAGGCTCCACCTCTTAAGTTCTATCTCATTGGCAACATGGGAGTTTTGGAGGGGATACATCTAAGCCATACTAATGTATGCATTTCTCAGCCTATGCCTTCTTTTATGTACCTATATAGTGGCTAACATCCTCTTCCCTTTAAAGCTGTACTATGCATATTACTTTAACTCTTTAGCCATATATCATGATCATCTAGGTCAGTACATCTAGCTCTAACTCATTCCTTTTCTTTGTGTGACTATATTGTTGGACTTGTTGCAGAATATGGTTGGCTTTTAAAAGGATACACTAATAACATATTTAATATGAAGAATACAATTCCAGTGTATGATATAATTTCATCATATATTAATGATTTATACTTAAAGTATATTAAAAGGAATATATTTATTGACAGTTTTTTATTTGCCACAAGTTTTTTTCACTTTGATCACATTTTTACCTTTTTTCTTTTAAGAATAAATCATAGACTTAACCAATGCTTCCTTTTCTAAGAAAATTCATATTTTTCCAGGCTATTATATCCGGGAAAAGTCTAAGCAAGTTATTACATTGCTGATGGATGAACAGTTGCTGTATAAAGAGAGGGAAGTGACATGTCGAACTAGACGGTGTACCTCTTACTCCATGACACTTCCCAAGAGACTTCCTGGTACAGGTAACTCACCAACAGCGTGTGCTTCTGCGCCTACGCCAGAAATTCCTGCTTCAGAGAAGAAGCATAAATTTCTTAAGGTTTCCAGGCTACATAATAAAGGTGTGTATAGTGAACTTTGGCCTAAAACACAGTAGGTATCGTTTAAGAACACTTGCAGAATATACATGTTAGATTTTAGTTCCGACCTATTAATACCATAGTAGTACTACTGGTATAATATTAGACTTCATATTAGAGAACAGAGAACAATAATATTCAATAGAAAATTTTATATGACTATTTTCAGAATATAGTTAGTATTTTACTTATACTTGGCATGTGAAAGAGTACAGTACTGGCTTCTGAGACCAGGGGTCTAATTATGTGTGCATTGTCACTATTTGATCCTACAAATCAGGAAATTGAAATTTTCTTAAATGTGCCTTGAAATTCTAAAAATTCTTCCAGGACAATACTTTATACCTTTTCCTTTTTCTAAAACTTTAAATCTGAATTACTGAATTTAAGGTTATAATAGAAACCAACATGAAAATGGCACGATTTTTTTTACCAGATTTGCTAAACCATTAAAGAATGTCATTTTCCCCTGGCTTCTCCAGTGTAAATCCTGTTAAAAGTTGTTCATAAAGAATGGACAGTTTGAGGAAGCAAAAATAACCACAAAATATGACTTAAATATCTTGAGTGGAGCTAACCTTCTGTAAGTAAGGGCATAACAGGAACAATGCAGTTGCAAGTGGTGTTAGAAGCTGACTTCCTCCCTTTATTCCCTAGGTCTAATGTTATGAACTAATGTTTGTATCCTCCCCAAGTTCATATCTTGAAACCTATTGAAGCCTTGATCCAATGTGATAGTATTTGGAGATGCATAAGTCATAAGGGTAGATCCCTTATGAATGAGATTAGTGCCTTTATGAAGGAGACCCCAGAAATTTCTCTCCTGTCCTTTTTCTGCCATAAGAGAAGTACAGTGAAAGGTGAATAGTCTCTAGCCCCCAAGAGGGCCCTCACCAGAAAATGACCATGCTGACACCTGATCTTAGACTTCCAGCCTCCAAAACTGTGAGAAATAAACTTTTGTTGTGTATACATCACCCATTCTGTGTTCCTTTGGTATTAGCAGCTCAAGAAGACTAAGACATCTATTAAGCAAGAACCTAAAAGAATTGGGCAAAGTGTTGCATGCCCATAATTCCAGCTACTCAGGAAGCTGAGGCAGGATGATTGAAAGTTTAGAGCCAGCCCAGGAAACTTAGCTAAGACTCTGTCTCAAAAAATAAAGGGCGAGGGGGCCTGAAATTTAGCTCAGTGGTGCTGTACCTACCTTGTAAGTTCAAGGTCTTGAGTTGGATCCCCGGTACCAAAAAAAAAAAAAAAAAAAAAAAAAAAAAAAAAAAAGGCTGGAAATATAGCTCAATGGTAAGGATCTTACCTACAAGGCCTTGGGTTTGACCTGTAGTAGTGGGATGGGCAGTAGGGGCTAAACAAGCTACAGGTATTCAATAAGAATAGCCAATGCCAAATGTCAATTAAGTGTGGAAATTTTTTAAATGTTTGTAGTAATACAATCCAAACCAGTCCTGCTAAAAATCATGCAAGTACTCTGACTTGGTCAAGAATTCTTAAATGTTCACTCACTTTGTACTTTTAAGGCATTAAAAAAGGTGACCATTGTAATTATAATAGTAAATAAAAGAGGTGGCCCTTCTAATTATAATAGTAAACACCACCCAAATGTTTCTACAAGTAGTGAAGTCTCCACTTTTAGGGGACCCATTTGTTTTGAAATAAATCTCCAAAAGGAACGATTATCCACTGAGAAATTTTCTCACAACATCCTTAAATTCAGATTGACACGAAAAGCTTAGTCCAATCATATTATGACTCATCCAGGATTTCTTCATCCCTTTTGCTGTTTCTCTGTTACCTTTATTGCCCTTTCCATTTCTTGTCCCATTTTCTCTTTCACTGTAAACACATGATTTGTTATCTGAAATTTGGATATCCAGAAGCAGTGCAGAGCTTCAGCAATAAGGGAAGTAAAGTTCCTTTCATCCCAGAAATAACATTTAGTGACAGAGATAGATATTAACAAAATAGACATAAAATATAAAAGATGTAAAGCATGTCAGATACAAATAAGTCCTATTGCAAGATCAGGGACAAGAGTAAGAGGGATGGCTTTATTTTAGAGCAAGTATTGAGGGGAGGCCTTTTGGAAGAAGTAACTGTTTAAACAGATATCAGTGCAGGGAAGGGAGCCATCGTGATCAGCAAGAGAGGGAGCAAACAGAAGGCACTTGCTCTGAAGTGGGGCAGACAGGGCACAGGCCGTTGTAAGCTTAGGAAATGAGCCCTTAAATCCATAGTGAAGTAGCTCATCTCTGAGCCATTTTTATGAGTCATATGTGAAACTAGTTTATTGCTTTATCATCATAGATCATGGGGCTTTTTTTCCCCAGAATTATTTTCCACAGCTTTGTGATACATCTTTATTCACTAGCCTGAGCTCTGCATTTGTTTTATTTTAGACATTTCTTTTTCTTTTTATTGAGTTTATTGGTACAGTCTAGGTATACAGTACAGTTACATTCATTATTGGGATCCTGTACCTTTACATGACAGGTCTTGATTCTCATTTTTTCCCCTTGTCCCTGCCCTCCCTTCTCCCCCTCC